ACCAATCACAGATCATCATCAAAAGATATAGCCAATCAGAGAGCAGTTCGGGTTAGGGATGGCCGAAGGGCACACCCAGAAGAATAGAATGAATCCGGATACGACGCGGCAGAGCTGGCCGCTCTCGATGGCGGTCTCCATCGGAGACGCGATGCGTCGCTTGCTTGATCCCGGGCTTGGGCCCGCAGGAGGCTAACACTAGTTAGTATTCACTCCCGTCAAGTGCGCATGCTTACAGTTAGTAGACCTTAAGCCTACATCACACGCGACAACCGTTGAGCTGTTAGTAGACCTTAAGCCTACATCACACGCGACAACCGTTGAGCATCTTGGAAGTGGCGAACTCGCCTCTTTGGGGTTCGTCGATGCCACAAATACTCTGATCCCTACCGCTGTAAACGCTTACATCTCTGTCTCGAGCCGCTTGACGAGAACACGGCGGTCCTCGGCACTTTGGTTCTCACATCCGTATTGCCACCACATCTTACAACATGTGGGGATCTCGCTCGTCTTGAGTGGGCCCTTTCCGCCGGCTCACAAGAACTGCATCCAGTTGGAAGAGTAGAATACGACTTTGGGCTTGGCTTGGACGATAAAATCGACGTTCGTTCAATGCCACGGGATGCAGCTAAGCGGCGGTGTTCCGTCAAAGTTGCGAAACAAGATCTGGGAAAAAGGGTTCGTGACCTCCTGGGCCACCTGAAACAATTTAGCAAAGCGTGGGGCAATCATGTTGGCGTGCGAGTCGCCCAGCACAACGACATGTGGGACCGAGGCGTCCCTTTGGTTGAGGATATTAGTGCCGTCGTTTTTCTCGACTGCATTCGTTTGACAAACAAACCCACCATCCCACGGGTGCCAGTCTAGTTGGAAGGTTGCGCGACGAAGGGATGAGTTCCGTCTCCTGAGGCCCACCACTCGAGTTCGGGAGGACGCCGATCTCGACCGCAATGTCGCCCCGATCTTGGTTGTCCACTGCGATGCGGCTCGAGATGTGCGAGAAAGTAGTCCGAAACTTGAACATGACCACTGCCATCGCACAGACCAGCACCATCAGCCCTAAAAGCATCGGAACGAGCCACGCAACTTTGCGACGTTCTTCAATAGTTAAAGTTACTGCAGGTTGTTCTCAACTACGTACAGCGTCTGCACCAAGAACATCATCGAGTACGGTTGCGTGTAAAACGGCGGGTTGATGGGAAAGTGAGTCTTGGCATAAACGAGGAGCGGCCATAGCCACAAGTAGGGCGTACCTGATCCGGTCAATGAAGACAATCACGGTATTCCCCACGATGTTCTGGTTGATAAAAGTCGAAAGGCCCGCCCAGGTCAAGCACGCTGTGCCAAGCGTCGGCAAAGAGACCACCAGCCAGGGAAATCCATCGCTTCGTCGATCACGACGTACGGTCGCAGCCATGCCGCCGACAGAGAACAACGCTGACAAATAAGCTGGCATAGCCGATAAGTGCTTGATGACCTTGGACGATTTGGTGATTGTCGTGGAGGTTCACGCATGCCAAAAGCCCACCATTTGCCAGAATCCCGATATTCCATCGTTTGGAGCATTCGATATTCTGGCGACCGCCACGGGCAGCCTCTTCCGAGCCACCCATCGACGGCCAACAAGCGCAAGGAGTGCAATGTCGCGCCACACCGACGGGATTTCGAATCGCCATCCACTCGCCCGTAACTACAGTATGAGAGGTCGACAAGTAGTAATACTAAGTAGGAATTTCAATTCGGTCGTGTCGGTTTGGTGAGATGGAGGGCGAGATAAGCGAGAGGTTTCTTCGTTTCTTGCATGGCCCAAAAGGCTTTGGCCGCCACTCGGACCTGTAAAACGGCCCAACGGCATGAAACGACTGACCAAGGTGAACAGGACATGTACGACGAGATGGTGGTCGTCTAGCACCACTTGGAGGGAGTCACTTTGGCATCTCCCAAGTCGCCCTAACTACGACCCTCAGTATGCTCGCCCGACTATTGCATATGTGCAGCTTGCTCCTGGTTGCCGCATGCATCAGCCAAGGATCTGAAGAAGCTGGCCTCGCGGCGGCACGCAATGCGTGTGTCGACTTTGTCTGCACCAACTCGTCAGTGTACGCAATCTACGGCAACGCCTGCCTCGGGCTCAATATGTCAATCAAGCGGGACTGCAAGCGACTGTGTCCGACCTTTGTGTCTGTGAACAGAAACTGCGACGGGTGGGGCCTCTCCTGCGTCCAAGCATGCATGGCAAACCAGCAGAAGCTGGGGTTCCCAACCACCAAGAAGATCATCGACGACTGAGTTGTGTGCCGGGGGATGCGCTTTAAAATTTATCGTAATTTTTTCTACTTTTCTCCCGTTTTTGACGCTTGTTTTGCCGAAATTCACCTTCTTGTCATATAGCTACATGTACTTCTTAAACGGTGCAATGCCGAGGTTGGAGGCTTCCTTCACGGGATGGAAGAGACCGGCCGGTCGCGGCAATAATAGCATCGACGACACGCCGCCTTTCAGAAAAGACACGGCACGGAGCGACTGACGAGATACGCTGTCCCACACGCGAACCGTGCCTTCATCATCGCCAGAGATGACGTATTGACCACACACGCTGACAAGAAGCGCGGTGACAGGGGTTTCGTGGCCGACAAACCCATCCATACTGAGTGCATCCTTTGCAAAAGGAGTTCCCCCGTGGGCCACGACTACACGAGCAGCGGCGGCAGTTGCAGCCGTCGCCGCAGCGTGCAAGTCCACTACGTAGATGCGTCCATCGCCCGCTCCGAGAAATAGCCGGTTTTCCATTGCATCGGCGACGCACACGTTGATGAACGACGGACAAGTGATCGAGACCAAGCACGAGCCGGAGGGAATGTCGTAGACTTTGGTCGTGCGATCCAACGATGAAGTGAAGACGCGGCCGTTGACACCACCCAGCCCACAATGAATACTTGTAATGGGCAGCACGTGATCTGTCCATGTGTATACCGGTGCAGCGCTGCTTTGTAGCGCAGAATCGGTGGACGAGGCATCGAGAAGGTCGAGGAGGCGCCAGACGTGGACGACTGCATCTTCACCACCAGACACGACGAAGGCATCGTCCGACGTTAATCGGAGTGCACTGACCTAAGAAATCCTGTAAACATGGATCAATACGAGCAGTCGAGCTTATACCGCTTTGTAATGAGCGTCCCAAACATGAAGCAGCGCACCGGAGGCGACGCACCACAGATACATCTTTCCAGAGGCTCCACCCGCAATGCAGTAGTTTCCTTCCGACGTCGTGACCATGGGGCCCATATGTTCGGTCACGTGGCACTTGAAATGGGGAACATCCTTCCCCCACATGTGCATGTGCATGGCGAGTTTGCCCGGTTGCAACGCGATCAGGTGGTGCGTGCGTGGAATGGCGACGAGACCATGACGAGAGCACGAGCTGCCTTTGAAGATGAAGAGTTGCGCGCCGCACATCGGGTCCACTACGTAGATATTCCCGTCTTTGCTAGACGCCAGCACCAGCACGTGGTCTTCCATGCTGGCGGTGTGGATGGCTTCAAGTTGGTTTCTTCGCGGAACCAATTGATCATCCTATCCATTATCCGGTCACTCGACAAATTATCCGGATGACCTGTCAATTCAGAACGAAGGCGACGACCACCACACAGCATCGAGAACGCAGCGCCACGGAAGGCAGTCGTACCCCAACGAGTCTGTACTTGGGAAGAGTCACGATGCCAACGAGAGTGGACAAGATAGCTTCTTGGACAAAGCAACGAGATTGCATGCATGTACGATCCCATGTGGTTACTTTAGTTTCCATTCGAACCCCAGTTCAGTCAGCTGTACGACTCGATCAGGAGGGATCATGTGCTGCCGGCCGCGAGTGTTCTTGACGATGTGGCCCAACTTTAGCTTCCACATTTCCCGTGGCCAACTTTTTCGTTCGGGTACTTCAAACGTCGATGGTATGCGAAGATGTCCGTGCAAGGTCTTGAAGTGCGCCATGGCCTCCACGCGAAGTTGCCACGTCGAATTCACATCCCATACGAACCCAAGCTTTTCCAGCTGCTCAAGCCGCGTTGCCGCCAGATTATCTTCATTTGCACGCATGGACTTGACAAAAAATCCCAAACGAATTCCCCAGCTTTCCTCAGGCCATTTAGAGTCCTCTGGGACTACAAAATTTTGTGGCACGGCAGCATGACCATGCAGGTCAACAAACGCTTTCAGCGCTTTGAGGTTCAAGTTCCAACGATGCTGCCGTGGATTCCACACAAAGTTCATCGCGTTGAGTCGCTGGACGATTTCTGTTGGGATAGCCTGCGTCTTCAATCGGTGTCGAAACTGGGCCATGTCAATTGTCGCGCCACGCAGATGCTGCGGGAAGTCGTCGTCATCGATGGGAATGGTGAACCTTGATGGCAAGTCCAGGTACGCTTTGTCGTTGCGCTTGTGAATCGCGGTCGCGATGTCCCGAAGATTTTCAGGGGAGTACAGCGGATTTGAGTGACCTTTGGCCGCTTTGGAGTAGAAAGCCACAGGGGCGAACCTCCGCGGAAGGACACGCGCCGCCAGCGCCGCCAATGGAGATGCCCGCCACATGCCGGTTGTGTGATTGGACATGACAGCAGGGAATCCGGATAAAGCTTAGAACGACATCCAGATGCCACGGATATCCGCATCAACCATTCAGTATCCGGACGAATGCTATGTATTTTTCATACGTTCATTATCCGACGAGTGCGTTCATTATCCGGACGAGCGGTAATCTTACCCCCACAGTTTCGACCGATTTGTTTCGGCCGCGGCAAGGATGCGAGCGTACTTGGCCGAGAGCGCAGGGGACATGGATGCAGGTGGCGGGTAGATGCGCTCGTACGTATTCCCAAAGGAATCCATCTCTTTTTCATGGTTGTTGTCTTGCGCCGAATCGTCGGGATGAATTTTGTTGCTCGATGACTTTGCTTTCGCAGGAGAGTCGTTTTCGTTTTCGTCTTCGCTAAGCCCCGATCCATTGTCGTCGACAGGATCAACTGCGTCTTCTTCGGTCAGCTCCACTACTTGTGGCTCGACAACTGGAGGCGGAGGCTCTACCAGTCCAGAGGTGGGCGTGCGAATGTCTCCTTTCGCCTTTTTGGCGACAGCGACAGCACTCGTGGCATTCCATAATCGGGTCTTCCACACTTTTCGATGTTTCTACGGCACAGATCGGCCATGGGGAATCGCATTTCACAAATCGCAACGATCAGTGATGCTGTCGTACAGATTGATATTGCCGCTTGGACAGATTTGTCACTGCTAAGATGTCGAGCGCTTGGGCGATGAGTGGCGTCTTGATCTGCTTGTCCAGAGTCGAGTCACCTACACCAACGCCATTAGTCTCCATCCACGTTACTTAGCGCCGCCGCACCTGCAAAACTCGGCGCGTGGTTCACCTCGACCATCCACGCCTTGCCCCGCTCGTCCAACATAACATCGAACCCGAGGATCTCAAAGGCCGCTGGACCCCACTGCCGTCCCTTGATCTCATCGGCCCCAAAAAAGTTACGGTAACTCGCTGCCAGACGCGGTTGAATGGCCAGGAGCGTCTTGAGCACGACATCGCAAATATCGGCCCACACTGCGTTCGGATCCATGCCATGATCATCCTGGAGATGCTGCATCACGAACGCCAGGCTCCTCTTGCTGCCCGTGGTCTCGTCTGCGGATCGAACAAAGTCTTTGCTCTTCTTGTTGATAGCATAACTACTCACGAGCAGAGTCAGACCCGTGTGTGGCTGATGCTCCCCAACTTCGTCAAGTGCATGCGCGTCTGATGCAGATTCGATCGCTTCGGCGCTTCGAATGGCGTCGTGCAGAATCGGGCGAGGCCATTGCGGAATATGTACACGTGGAGCGGGTCGACGCTGTACACGAGCACCTACCCGCCAAGGTGCATGTAACGATGGGTGCACGGCATAGGTGCAGATCTTACATAGATGCGCAGATCGAACTTGAACCCGTCAATGAGCAGCGGATTGTGAATATATCTAGTCAAACCAACGATTTGACCGCTTGGCCGTCGGTGTGGCCGACCAACTTTTGAACAACGCATGGGTCCTTGGTGGAGAGCTTTTGAAACGATTGAATCAACGAGATGCCTTTGCCTTGGCACAGCGTTCGCGGCTACGACCGCACAGCGCATTTCACCGCATGTCCTCGACCATCCACTTTGCATGTGGCACGGGCACGATGGCCATGTCCGTGATGCCGTGCTTACCTTGACGATGTAGGTCGCCCCACGCTTGTCGGCTTCCATGCACTGTTGTAGCTCCATGCGCTCGGCTGGAATCAAGAACGATCGAGGGAAGAAGTCGTAGTCGTCTGGTAGGAGTTTTCGCATGGCATTGCTACACGTATGGCCGTGCGATCAACATGCCACATTTCGACCGTCGCCGTACAGGTTGTTGGCGAGAAAGTCCTTGCGGCAAATGTCCTCCATGCTGGGAAAGTGGTTGACCTTCTGGAATGCGTTCAGGCGCCGCGCGTCCTTGAGCAGCTCACCGCGATCGCTCCACCAGATGTCCCACTCGACGTCCGACTTCTTCGTCCGGACAAGTCGAAATCCTGCCGTCGCACACTTGTGAGTCGTGCAAGAGTTGGGTTGTCGCCCCACCTCGATCTTTCAAGCACCGCTTGATGATCGCATACCGACACAACGACACGTCTACGACGACTTTGCGTGATCGTTTGAAGGGCTTCTCTGTCGTCTTGGGAATCTTTCCATCAGTGGTCGGAGCCGGTGGGGCCATTGGTCCGACCTTTGGACAACTACTCAGCTGTTACCAAGCGAGCTAAAGATAGGGCTTGCATTCGCACGACATCACCAAGCCTCGCTGAGGGTGCTCACCATGTTTCAGTTTGTCAGCTTCATTGTTCTACCCATTTGATGTGTGTTGAAGCAATGTGGCCCCAACTGGTCACGGCGTCAGCCTGTGCGATCGCTCCGATCTGGGATCGCAGGACCGAACCAATCCTACAATTCCGACTCACACGGATTCTTACGTATCCCCGATGAATGCGGCGGAGTACATGGTTGCGCCCGTGGCTCCACCGCCTTGCTCCAGGCGAACCCGTCATCGCGGCGTCGAAAGTTTGTACGTTAGTGCTCAGTCTTCCGGATCGACCGGATAAAAACGGTCTTGCAAACTGAATACTTTATTCAAGTTCAAATTTTGTGAATTGCCCATACAACTGCCTTAAAGATCCTTCACGACCACAACATTTGTATGCAGTAATATGTAAGTATGATGTACAGTGCCGTCGTGTGGGTCGATTTGGAGCCGCACACTGTGGTGAAACGTGGAAGCCGACCGCACAACGCTACGACGCCACCCCGACGCAAGCACCACGCGAGGATGGGCAAGGAGGAAGTGTACTTCTATATCCCGAACTTGATCGGGTACACGAGGGTGTTCTTAACAGGCTACAGCTTGTACCTGGCCCTCTCGGACTGGAAGACGGCGGTCGTGTGCTACGCCATCAGCTTCATCTGCGACTTTTTCGACGGGTACTTTGCTCGGTGGTTCGATCAATGCTCAACGTTTGGGGCCGTCCTGGATATGGTGACGGACAGGTTCTCTCGTGATCATGTTGTCGCGAATCGTGATTGTATTTGGGATGTAGATGCTCGACGGCCGGCCTCCTCGTCATTTTGTCCCATTTGGACAAGGATCGAACGCTCCTCTTCCTCTTTTTGCTTGTGCTCGACTTTTCGTCGCACTGGTACCACATGTACGCCTCCCGCGGCCACCACAAGACCGTCGACTCGAACAAGAACTTTCTCCTGCGCGTCTACTACGGGTGCTATCCACTGTTTGGGTACTGTTGCGTCGGCGCCGAATTCTTTTACATCCTGTACTACGTCCTTCTTCACGACGCCGCGCTCGTCGTGCCGTACGCGAACGTGCCCCTCTCCATCGTACGCATACCTCCTCAAACTCTGCAACGCGTTGACGTGTCGACATGTAGGTGTGCTACTTTCTGTGTCTTCCTGCGTGCGTGCTCAAAAACATCATCAACGTCGCCCAACTGTGCTCGGCCGCCGCGAGCGTCGCCGAGTACGACTTTGAGCATAAGCAGCAAAAGACCGCCTGACCTTGCTCACACCCATAGCTGTTAGCATAACTGCTACACTCAATACGACACTGTCAACATTGTGATTGCTATTTATACAACGTCGAGCTGCAGTTTGTTGTCCGCACCAATACGGCACGCGAGTCATCCGCATGGGCTGCGCTTCGTCCACGCCGACCGTGGCCCCGCTGCTGCCCCCACCACCGACTGCGGCGAATGCACCTCGTGCAAATGTGGTACGTTTCCCACGTCCAACTCGACGACGTTGCGCGCGGATGGATCGAATGTGTTCATGTTCCCCGCCAAAGTAGGAGGTTCAAATGACAGGTCGTGCCATCACCACCACGACATCTCGTGCCCCAGAATGTGACACCACCCTTGAGCCCGTCGACAACCCCGATGTGGTTGCGCTCCTGCGTGTCGGTAGGGCCGGTTCCGTCCTGTGCCATGCCAACGTGGGCACGTTATAGTCAAGCAAGGCAATTTGGACAAGGTGCAGAGCGCACTGGCTGCCGCGCCGACGCTGCTCAATGCCCGGGGCATGTGGGACAGCACGCCGCTCCTAGTTGCGTGTCAGTACGCCCACGCGGCCATCGCCGCGCACTTGCTCTCTCTCGGTGCAGACGTCACGTTGGTGAATGAAAAGCACGTGTCGGCTGTGCTCTTGACGGCCCTCGAAGGCATGCCAAGCGTGCTGACCCTTCTCCTCGCGACCCCTCGCGAACGCGTCGCCCCCCTGCTCAACCTCCGCGGCACCGTCTACAACTCGTTTACAGACAAGAACGCTGCGCTGACGCCGCTACTCGCAGCATGCACGAACGGACATGTCGAGTGCGTCGGTCTCTTGCTGGACGCCTTTGACGCAAGCGACCGATCGAAGCTACTGAACGAATCCTCCCACGACACGAATGCATTCGTTGCGGCTGCTCGACATGGCCACACAGCCGTGGTGCACTTGCTACTCCAGCACGGCGCAATAGCCTCCGTCGTCGACGCAGGTTCGATGGCTCCACTTTCGAGTGAGCGACGACTTCTTACTGCGACGGGATCGTGACTTAGACGGAAACAATGCGTTGCTACTTGCATTGGCGAGTGGATTCGATGGGACTGCTGTCGCTCTCATCGGCGCCGCCCCCGCGACTGCCACTGCCACCAACGCTGAAAAAGTTTCCGCTCTGCACATGGCAGCGCGCATGGGATGCGCAGACACGGTGGAGCTGCTCCTAGCTACTCCGTCCTTGGTAGGGCCGCTGCTCAACGCGACCAATTCCAAAGGCGAGTCGGCGCTTCTGATGGCTGCCCGAAAGAAACACGTTCGCGTCGTCGAAGCGCTCGTGCGCGCAGGGTTTGCCATTCGACTCCACGTTGAATCGGAGCTGAAGTCGGCATGACTAGAGCGAACGTGGACGCGACCGATGCTGCCGGTCAAAGCGCTCGGCATGTGCTTGTCAAGACCAAGCAAGACTACCTGCTCGCCGTCGTGCAGTCGACGGCCGAAGCAACTGCCGCCGCCCATCCCACCATTTCGCCTTCGAGTACAACCCAAAGCACCACCTCGCCTTCCGACGATGCTGCCCCCACTGGTTCCTACTCGACGAAACCAATAGACATCGCTACTTCGTCATCGTTCAAGCTTGGCCATCGCCGTCGCAGTAGCCGGAGGAAGCAGCTCGAGAGCAGAACGACTTCCGTCGCGGACGCCCCGATACGACGGTTGGGGAGCCATCGGTCGAGCGTGACGTCCACGTCCGACAGCGGAGAAAGTTCGCCTTTGACAGTGGGTCGCCGAATCAAGTCCGTTCGCAAGTGTCCGTCGAGCAGCGCGAGCATCTTGCCCAACTTGGATCTGCTCGACGGGCTTGTGCCTTCGTCCGAATCCTCTCATTCGGCTTCCTCCAAGGCCAAGCCGTCCACGCTGCGTCCAAACTCCAGACACCGCCTCCAGAGCATATCCAAGTCATGTCACAGCTTGAAAACCTCCGGCCCGTCCATGTTGGCGAGGTCGGCATCCATGAAAGCTTTCCAAAGCAACCAAGTACATCCAAGACAGAGCCATGTGCAACCACTGCCAACCTCGAAACACTCGGCTCTCGTTACTCCCGACGGTACCGATGCGGCAACGACACCCTTCGTGCTTGCCTACACCCAAAGTGGGGAGGTAGCGCTCTCGATCGAAGCTGGCACAAACCGCCCCTCCGCACTGCCGCAACCGGCGGCTTCGATGGACGCAGGTACCGCGACTCAGTCCCCCGAGCTCGCCCCCCAGACACAACGAGCCCTTGCGGCGCTGGATGCTATACCGACTACAGCCGAGAAACCATTGCAGTTTGTAGGCACTCACAACATGCATGCACATCGTCACGAAGGTGATGACAGCGGTGCTGCCGACACGGGAGGCACTCCTCCACTTGGATCGTTGCTTGAGCTAAACGTGCCTGCCGGTGCCGCCGCATCGAGCACCTTTTTGGCTGGAAACGAAGGGAGCGCCGACGGTCAGGCTCCTCCGTGCCGAAAATTTCGTCGCAACCCGACTTGCGGCGTCCTGACGTCGAGGGCATCCTTTCGCCGCGGTAGCACCCATGTCGGGCTCATGCAGCAGCCCCCACTCATGGCTGGATGCGAAGAGAACGCGCCAATTCGAATCGGAAAGCGCGACATCACAGCAACACGGCACCATCGGTCCGTCAGCGTCCTCGCGACACCGTCGACACTGGACGCGCTCGACCGCATCGGCGACGTCCCCGTCAAGGGCACGTCATCCGCCTCCACGATGCCCACCGTCAATAACTTGGATCCGTCACCTCGCAACGCTCGCAAGCGAGCGCTGTCGTGGAACAGCGTCGACGAGCTCAAAACGGTCAACCATGAAGCAATTGTGCGAAGGAGATGCAGTGTTCAAGGGCCTGCACCGTCGTGACAGTCCCGACAGAAACGCTGTAATGGATTCAACATCCAACCTCTCGGCACTCCGATCTTCGATCCTGGAGCTCTCGGCTGGTCTTTACGCAGGTCAATTCACATGAAACTGGCCATTAGCCGGCCCCGGTTCGATCGGACGCTGGCTGGCAAACAAAGTAGATCGCAAGCCTCAACTCGATTCACAATACGTTTCAACTCGCTCTCCCGGCGACAGGACCATCCTCGGTCTCTCAAGCGCGCGGAGCTGCGTGCGCGTCATGGCCATTAGAACGGACGGATGTTGGTTGTCCCGCGCAGACTATTCTTGAGCTGGGATGGGTTCGCCCACGACGAGTGCAAGTATGCGTCGTCGTCTTCGTCTGCAAGTTTCTTGAGTTCTTCCTGCTTCTTAAAGTAGTGTGCCATCATGGCCTTCCGCTCCTCTTCCGACACCTGCATGGCCGTGGATCAGTGTCGATGAGAAATCGAGTCACGGCTTACAGCTGGCTCGCGCTGGGGCGCCCCGTTTGCTTTCTTGGTAAGCTTGGCGATCACTTTGGTCTTTTCGTTCTTCCCAACACGGTCGCCGACTGTCTCGTCGCGGAAGAATTGCTTGCCGGCCCACCACAGCTCGGCAGTGTCGGCGCTCAAGATGTCCATACCGCTCTGGGTCCCGCCGAGAGCATCTTCGTCCTTTCCGTCCAAGAGAAGCTGTACGACGTCGTATTCAGGAAGTCCCATGGGAAATCCCATCATGACGAGCCCGCGGAAGTTGTCCAGCTTCTCTTGCAGCACGTTTTGCGAGATGGCTACACGGGCGTTCGACTTCAAGTATTGGTTCACGTCGGCAACCATTCGCGTCAACGTCTCACGGAGCGCCGGACACACGCCATTCCCGGTGCGCTGGCCAAGCGGGTCTTCTTCATAGAACTCAGCCTTGTGGACAGGGGTCGACGCATACGAGTCAAGCCCATGCTCTTGAGGATGCTTCGCCACACCGTGTTGGAACAAGCTTTGCGTGTGAGTCACGAGGTTCGCGAGGCGGACACGGGCGTTGTGTACGTGCACAAGCTCTCGAATGACCGTGTCGTTCGGTGTGTTGCATGTCGTCTCGAAGAGGAACCCTTCCGTCTCGCTCAACTTGACGTTAATCACCACCATGATGCCGACGGGTAAATTCTGTTAGTGGCACATACCCGGGAAAGGTCGTCGATGGAACATTCCGGATACGTCTATCCGGGAATTCCCGGTTACTATTATCCGGACTACAGCGTCGATCGTAACCTCCGCGCCCAAGCGAAAGCAACTCGAAAACTCATCAAGCTTATTGACCCCCTTCGCTTCTTCTTGAAGAGGAAGGCTTGGCTATGTGAATGCAGAAATGGAGCAGTGCAGCACATTGGTTACGCGGCACAGAACGCCTGTTCCATACGTCCATGTACTTATCAGCAAACCCCACACTGACATAGTTCATCCCTCACGGAACTACACAATACATCTTCGTTGAGGCGTGAAATTGACGAGGTCGAGGTCACTCGATGCAGGCTACACGAAGTCCACTCTTCCACGGAGTGTTGCGAAGGAGGTGCGCATGTTGCACGCATTGTAGAAGGCCACAAATGTATAGATAGAGCCTCCATGGAAGCGTACACAATGTCGACGGCGAAGCATTCAGCCCTGACCATCCACCATGCAACTTGAGGACAATCCAAACGTCGCCAGCGTCGACCATCTCACCCAGCCAACCCAAGTATTCTCGTGGCATTTTACGTATGCGTTATGCTTAGATGGTTTCGAGTGTCTTGCGACCGGCATCGACGTCGTGGACATTCTGCGCATACTTATCGAGATACATCGTGTGGAGCTTGTCATCGTCGTAGAAGAGGCGCGTGACTTCTTCGGACGTCTTGTTGTTTGTGTTGGGAACGAACCAGAACACGAACCCGATGAAGAAAACGAGACAGCCCGAGAAGATGAGAAAGGCAAAGTTCCCGGCGGCGGTCGGGCGCATGAGCTGGGGGTAGTAGACTGCAATCAAGAACTGTGCGGCGAACGTGAAGAAGGTCGAGATCGAGTTGGCGGTTGCGCTCATGTGCTCTGGGAAGAGCTCGTTCGAAATCAACCACGCCATGGAGCCCGCGGAGAAGCAGTACGACGCGACAAAGAACAGCACGGTGACGATCGCAAGGTAGTTGGTCGCATTGAACATGACAGGGTTCCCGGGGTACTCTTGCGTGAACACGATCCCGACAGACGCCAAGAGCGTTACCGTGAGGCCCACGAGCAGCGGCGTGCGGCGCGAGAAGCGATCGAGGTACCGCGCCGCCATAAACATGTCGTGAAACCGGCCAAAGTTGACGATGATGTTGGATATGCGGGTCTCGCGGATGCCAATGTTCAAGAAGAACCCGTTCGAATACGCAATGATGGCGTTCATGCCGGCGAGTTGCTGCGACAGGCACATGACGATCGCGACGACCATTTGGCGACGGTACTTGGCAGAAAGGAGGAGACGGAGCTTCGACGCGGTCGCGGCCTCGACGGCCTGCTTCTCATGCGACACGATCATGGCGTTCAAATGCAACTCAATGTCGCATGGCTGCGTGTACAATTGGCTCAGCGCAACACGGGCGTGGTCGAATCGTTTGTGCATGACGAGGTGGTGCGGCGACTTGATCATGCATGGAAAGAGGCACAGTTGGAGGAGCCCCAGCACGATCGGCGCGCCAAAGAGTAGGCGCCACGTGAGTTCTTCTGACGTGACGGTAAAATGCAATGCCGACACGGTCATGCCGCCAAAGGACAACATGATTTGGGGAAGCGTGAGGAAAAATGCGCGACGGGACACTGGTGCAACTTCGCGGAGGTACAAGTTGCCGACGACAATGGCCACACCCGTGGCAATGCCTGAAATGCCGCGGCCGATCGTGAACATCAGGATGTTGTTGGACAGCATTTGGACGAACGCCCCCGCGATGATGAGGAACGTATTGAGCATGAGAGTGGTTCGGCGGCCAAGAGAATCGGCGGGGATGCCCGAAAACAGCGCGCCGACACCAGCCCCGACGATCCACGCGGTCACGGCGGTTGTCCACTCCTGTGACGTGTGCGTCGGGAACAGAATGCACTGGCCCTGAAGCGGCGGGATCTGCTTGGCGACAGCGGGAGGTACGTAGCACGCCTTCGAGTTAAACCCGATCCACGCCATTTGAGCCAGCAGGTACCCGTACTGAAAAGCCCCCAACAGCACGACAAACGCGGACTGGTACAGTTTGCCCGACGGAATCAATGGCGACTCGGCCAGCATCTTGGCCGTTTGATCCGGCAGGTTCAGATACGAGCCCTTGATCACCGTCGCGTGCGCCTTCTCCGTCGTCACGTCATTCACGGCTGCCACATCCACTTGGAGATTTGTCCGAAGCCCCGGCAACATGCGAATCTCAAAATGGGTCGCGAAGTTTGCTGGGATTTGATCGTTGCACGTCGACGCACCGACTTGAGTGGGACGGATTCTATTTTGTCCAAATTGAGTGCAATTTCCGCGTACTTTTATTCAAAAAGTTTAATGTACGACGGCATGTGATTGGCCCGACCGCGCGACGCCGTCGTTGTGTCGAGAACCTGATATGATGGGGTTGTCGTGAAATTCGCGATTTTGATTGTTGGGTTCAAAAGTTGAAATTTTTCCTGAAACTTCGCGAGGGTGATATGCTTTCTTTTGAAATGACCCTTCCCGACATGCACGAGGATCGAGAGCGCGGTCAATGTCTCTACGACGGCAGACTACACATGAATGCGTGGCCAGTTAGATTGATGAGCGTGGAGATAGCCATGCTCGCGGTATGCATTCGTCGAGCGACGCAAACACATTTTTGTACAGGGCGTTGACGCTTCAACGGCGGTGTGACGGCGCAAATGACGACGAAATGGGTAAGTTGTGGAATTTCGCGAAGAGAAAAAATGAAGTGGCAGCGAATAGTGCATATACACGGTTGGGTCAATGACCTAACCTGCACCCCAACCAAGGGATTGACCCATCAAAGTCGTCAGCCGCCACGAGCGGCACGCCGATTCATACAAAGAGGAATGCACATGGATGTTGAACCCCTGCCCTCCGTGACAATGCATCGTGTGCTGAAAAATATGCTCCTCGAGAGGCGACTCCCTCGACATGGCTGTTTGTTGGGCGACTGTGCTGCGTTGGTTGCATTCGAGCTACTCTTACAAATGGTTGGACGAAAAACAAGCAGAATTGCAGCGCATCAACTATAGCACAGATCAACCTTCAGTTTTTTAGCACGTCCATGCTTTGCGAACGCCTGGTAATCCCTGCTGATGCGACAAAATTCCAAAAATAAGATCTAAATCGATCCGAGATAGGGTTGCGTGGGTGACAGGGCACTTGGAGAAAGATATGTCGTACTAGAAAAGGCAATTCGCTGGACGACAACTCAACATTGCTGATGCTCGTAAAACCAGCCAATCAACAATTTTTAGTCGAATGGTAGTTGACGCTTGAAAAATTCAGCAAAAAATGGCAAAAACCACGTGGTGCAATTGTCGACAAACAACTTTAGCATCGTGGTCGTGTACGTTTAACTTACAA